AGAGGTGCTAGTGTCACGGAAATGAAAAGAAACCTACAGTGGACCTCACTTGAAGACAGAAGAAAGATGTCTAGACTATGCATGATGTACAAAATGACTAATAAACTGGTGGATGTCCCAACTACTAAGTACCTAATACCAGCCCAGAAGAGAACAAGAAATAGCCACGCATTCAAGTACCAGAGTTATCAACCAAGGATTGAGGTGTTCAAGAACTCATTCTTTCCTAGAACTATCGCAGAGTGGAACTCACTGTCACCAGGTACAGTAGGGGCACTGTCAATAGATAGCTTTAAACAATGTCTAGAGCTAGAAGTTCAAGGGTTAGGTGTAACAAGTCGATCGGTGTAATATAGCCAGCTGCCGCCGCGCCGCGTGCCTGCGAAGCTGCTGTGTTACGCCGAAAGGCGGTTATACCGGCTATACAGATACAGATACAGAAAATCCATTGCAAGTCTCAGACTACCTTATTTTGATAATTTAACATAAAGCATGCAACATTATAAACTCTAAAATAAAATAATTTCCTTGCTGGTAGTAAAAATGCATATAAAAATGTTGTATATTTTGGGCAAGTGAAAAGTTGGTTCGGGCAAGTAGAAATGACCATGTACTTGCCCGAAATGACCATGTACTTGCCCGATTTGGCAAGTGGATTTTTGAAAACCTGTCCTACCCTGTGAAGTATGTAGTTAATATTATGTTGAGAGCCAAAAGTCAATGCCTTAAAGTTATGGTGACAGTATATAAGGAGACAATCTTGCACAAGCGGTGATAGAGTTATAGGTTTAATATCAACATTCAGCTATACTGAATGAGCTACTCTGTACTTTGCTTAAAATGTTTTTCCAAATTTAAACTTGAAGTCTTCTGTATTCTGATTCAATCTCACCACATGTAAATTAAATGGTGACCATAAAAAATGAATTATGGAGCTCAAACTACTGTTTTGAAATATCAGAGGATTCCAAACCTCAAACGATGCTGCTTCTCCTCCTGATTTCTTCTCCTCTATCTGCACGAAGAGTTTGTCACAGAACAGCGGCACGATACCTGAAATGTGTGGAAAGAACCATCGTAACAAATAAAACTGATGACTGCAATAATTCGACTGTTGCTTCTAAGACAGCTCATCCAACCAAAACAATACTTTTGTATACCGAGAAGTATTGTATTACTAATATTACTGAAAAAATCATTTGTACTTGAAATTGATTGTACAGTAATTTTTTTAAAATACAGAACATCATAATGTCAGATGCACACATTTCTTTTACCTGCCTTGCACCCTCCTCTTGATATTGTATCAAGAAATAAAGGGCTGTCCTAGGCTTTTAACTTGCATTATTCATCATTTTTTTTTATTCTAGCATAATAGAGATGACTTCAAACAATGTCAGCATGCTTTTTAATACAGACAGGACCAGAAAATAAGGCAGAGTCTTTCATATCTTAAAATGATGGACAGCAGAATGACTCCTACCTTTGTTGGGTCCATATCCCACGATAGACCATGACTTGCCGGCACCTGTTTGACCATACGCAAAAAGCGAGCAGTTGTAACCTTCCCAGGCATTGGCCAGAACTCCCAGTCCCACATCCTTGAACACCATGTTCTGAAAAAATCATTCTAAAAGTTAAAAGAAGAAAGAAGAAGAAGAACTTTATTGTACAACACTTGCACAAGGTACAATGTATGGCAAATTACATAAAGAGTAACAAACAATAAAATAAATGTTGGAGAAGACCTAATGTCAAATAAAACCTAACATATCTTAATTATTCAAACAATAAGTGCTAGCACAAGTCTTTGATAATTTAAAAGTGTTACAATACGTGTGGACTAATCACAAGTTTCGGTATTTTTTCTAATGACAAAACATTCCTTTATATATCTAACTATTTTTGCGTTGTGGGGACCATTACATCTAAAGATATATCCAAATCTGTGTTAAATGAGGTGCAATTATGAAGGGGTTTGAAAATCACACTAGGGGAAAAATAGCTAGCACTTTTTGACCCTGGTCCTATTTATTACAACTTATGGCCTTCAACTTAAAAGTCATGGAGTTATGTTTTGCAAGGGATGAATAGGATACTAGAGTAAGTAAGTAGAGTGGATTCTTCAAGCTAAGCAACATCTATGATCTAACATTATATAAAGAGACAAAAAGAGAGTCCAAAGGAAGGAATCTAATAGTATGTGTTGTTCAAACCCCACAAGATGCTGAGAATCCAGGCAGAGTTAGAAGCCAGAGGAAGAAAACAGCCAAGGAAGAAGACAAAACCTTGAAAAAGATGGACTTTTCTTTATTTTCAAATTGTGTAATCAAGACTTGTAACACATGTTTGTGCTAGATATCAGTTAGCTTGAGCAATGCACCCACTCTACTGTAAGTACTTGCTAGCTACATGTATGTTGTTGCTCACCTGATCAGCATAGTGAGGCTTTGCAGGTGCCAGGTACCCAGAAGCCTCCTCTTTAAAACTATCGTGGGACCAGTAACTGTAGTCAAACGTGAAACGCTTGGGTTCATTCTCGCCGCTGGGGTCATTCAGAACCGTGGTCGGACCTTTCATTTCCACGATCAGTGTGGCATTGCGCTCTCTCTCACGCTTATTGTGTGAAATGTTAAGGTATTGACTGACAACATATGCATATCAAACTTTCAGATAAAATCCTTTCTGTTCATTTGCAAGCCAGATCACTTACATATTTGATTCACAAGTGCATTTTGTCAATAACTTAGGCCACAGCAAGTAAATTTTATGGATGACATCCTCCGCAGACTCCAAATCTAATACGAGCGGGCAAAAAAAGAAACAAGGAGGGCCGAAGAAAACAAGGTTCCTACATTTTAAAATTTTGACTCAATCATTGTACATTGTTCAAATGGTTTTTATTCAGTGGGAACATCACGTATACACAGCAAGCATCACATATTACTGCATCAAAGTAAGAAACGAAACATTAATTCAGAGCCTTGTCTTGTCTCCTCTCTTCA